TTCCTTTGCCCATTTTTTGATAGGATTATTTGTCTTTTTCTTGTAGAGGTGTTGGATTTTCTTGTAGATTATGGATATTAGAACTTTGTCTGACTTATAACGTCAAAAATTTTTTCCCAGTCTGTAGGTTCTCTTTTTACTCTTTTGGTGAAGTCTTTTGAAGAGCATAGGTGTTTGATTTTTAGAAGATCCCAGTTATCCTGTTAATGCCATGTACCTGATAACTTCTAATCTTCTTTCTGTCCCTACGAATTTGCCTATTCTAGATATTTCATATAAGTGGAATCAAAGAATACCTGTCCTTTCGTGTCTGGTTTATTTCACACAGCTTGATGTTTTCAAGGTTCATTCACGTTGAAGCATGTATCAGGGCTTCATTTATCTTTATGGCTGAATAATACTCCACTGTATGTTTACACTACATTTTGTTTATCCATTAATCTGTTGATGGACACTTGGGTTGTTCCTACCTTTTGTCTATAGTGGATAATGCTACAGTGAACACTTATGTACAAGTCTGTTTCCGATTCTTTTGGGTACATACTTAGGGAATCTGCGTTTTAAACAAAACCCCCAGATATGTATGAAGCAGGGAGTCCTTGTCTGTACGTTGAGAAGCACAGCAATCGTTTGATTCATCAGCTCCCTCTGTGTAAGACTTGTGCTAGTGCCGTGGAGTGGCAGGGCAGTGTGGCCAGGTCCCTGCCTCCATGGACAGGGTTCACAGCAGACGTGCGTTGAGAGGGGAAGGATACTGCAGGGGAAAGGCTACCAGGTGAAGTGTTTTAGAACTGGGTTCTCATTCTGGCTTTGACCTTGCCTTGGAGCAGATGTCTCCAGGTCACTGTTTCCCTATCACTGGAGGAGGTGGGCCTGAGCCAGGCCTCAGAGCATGGGTTGTATGTGGCTGGCTGGCAAGCGGGGAGGGCATGTGGCCAGTGTTCCCACTGCTCTGCTTGCCTACCTGGCATCACTTTGGCCCATAAAACCATTAAACTTACATCCCTGTGTAGAGGACAGAGCCTCTGTGCATGTACAGTCCGCTCCTTCTCCCATCTCGGACACTGCCAGCTGTACTCTTATGCCTGGCCGGCTCCCTTCTTCCTCCCCACACCCTGCACCCACTGGGCCACTGCCCTTGCAGCTAAGAAGAGCCTGATTTTTAAAGAAGCAGAAGGAATCACATTTGGACCAGGCCCTCTTCCCCTCTGTCCTAACCTGAACTCTGCTGTGGGATCCCCACAGTCAGAAGTTCGGGGTGGATGTGGCTGATGGTGGCATTTCAGAGGAGGCAAACACTAAGTTTCAAGCTCACTACAGTTAGAGGGTCTGAGCAGCTACAAAAGAAACCAAGACAATGTATGGGGTTTTTACAAGGCTTGAGTACAATCTGCAGAGTCCAGAACCCTGGGGTCCAAATCCTGACTTTGCCACTGAATGCTGAGTGACCTTAGGCAGGTTTCTTACCCTTTCTGAGCTGCAGCTCAGCTTCCCCATCTGTAAAATGAGAACCACATGTGAGAAGAGCTGCACGTCATGGCATACACTAGATGGCAGTTGCTATTCTCATAAATAATTTTAAGATTCGTAGACTTTTAGGACTAGAAGGATCCTATGAAATCATCCAGCCCACCTCTCTGACAGAAGGGGAAACTGAGGCTCAGAGAGAGGATTTGACTTGCCCAGGTCACATAACCAGCCCATCACAGAGCTGTGACCCCAAGATATCTTAGACTCCAACCCAGACCTCCTTATACCCCTCAGAGCTGTCTTTCAGTTAAGCATGGGTCCCCGAACCCATAGATTGGGAAGCCATATAGGTAGGAGTGCACAGCGAGCTGCCACATGTCCCTCTCTGTACCCAAAGATGGTGACATAACTGGCTGCCACCAGTGTTCCACCTTCTCCTCATCCTTTCATGGAAGTCAGGCCAGTCCTTATGAGGAAGAGGTGGATTTTATCATCGAAGCCTTTTGTGACATGACAAGTGTGGGTGAAGATATATGGGCTTCCTGCAGCTTCGCGCGTTCAGCTGCCTGGCCTTGTACTTGAAGCAGGTGGGAGTGGGCATCATCTGCTGTGAATTACTGTAAATTAAAGTTATCTTGGTTCAAGGAAGAGCCTACAGACAAATGTACCAGGATCATATGAGACCAACATTTAAGTGGTCTCTTGGGAGAAAGATGTATTCTTGGTGAGAAACCGCTCCTGAAGGCCGCAACGTTTGAATGAGTTACAGAGGATTTTCAGGAATTGTTCACTCGTTCATGCCTTTGCTCATTCATACACAATGCACAATCACTCAGTGTCTACTCTATGCCAGGGATTAAGAGTAAAAGAGAGAAATCAGATAGTGTTTCTTGAGCCTTAATTGGAGGATTGGGCAGGTAATTACCACAAGGTATAGGAACACGGGGGAAGGAGTTACCAGCTGAGCCTGAGGAGTGTGAAAGGGAATCACAGAGGTGACATCTGAGTTGAGGCCACAGGAAAACCTTTCAAAGTTTTTGAAATGTGTTTTAAAACAAGGCAGAGAAAGGGGAAAGGGTCCTGCTTGTTAGGGCACATGACAAGCTCTGTAACAAGACAACCAAGTTCATTTCTTTCTCATGAAAGAAGAGCTTGCATAGACAGTTAAGACTGGTGTGGTAACTTGGCGTTGGCAGGGACCCAGCACCCACCTTAGTTGAAGATGGTTTGTCTTAGCTGAAGATGACTCAACCACTACACTTACACACCCACATTCTAGTCTTTGGAAGGAGGGAAAGAGGAGGAAGAGCCTAATTCCTTTAAGGGCACAACCCAGAAGTTGTACGCAGGGCTTCTGCTCACATACCACTAGCCAAACTTAGTCGCGTGGCCACTCCTGGATGCAAGGAGGGCTGGGAAATTTAGTATTTAGCTGGTAGCCATGCCAAAGCTTCAATTCTTGTAGAAGAAGGAGAGAACAGATATTTGAGAGGGTCAGGAGGCAACCAGCAGTCTTTGCCACAGGCAAAGAAGAGGCAATATGAGAGAGCTTTCAGGTTTGCAGATTTGCAAGTGGTTTGTAGCGGGTAGGGCATGACGGGAGTGGCAAGAGATGGCGCAGGAAAGAGAGGCAGTATCCTCAGTGTCATTCCAAGGGATTCGGAGTGTATTCTGTATGTACTGTGAACACTCAGGGGTTTTGAGCAAGAAGGTGGCACAGTCAGGAGTTTGCTGTAGAAGACGGTTCTGGCTGTGAGCAGATGCGTGGGAGAGGTTGAGCTTGCAGGGGGGGGGACCAGCAGGAGGCACTGCCACCACCAGAGCAGGGAACTTGCAGTGGGGTTGGAGAGGGCGTATGGCCTGAGAAATGCTTAGGGGATGGTGCAGACCTTTTCCTATTATTGAACAAGGAAGCAGAGTTCCAGAATCTTCTGCCCTGGTGGTGGCAGGTAAGGGAGGGTTGCTAGAGAGCAATAACTATAACCTCTTATCTCTCTCCTCAGACTGTTCTACGTATTGTGGTCCTTGGGATCTGGGATTACATTGAAAACAAAATAGAGGTAAAGACCAATGCCCACCCTAACCATCCTGGAAGCTAGAAAAATGTACTGTCCCATCCATCCCAGGATGGGAACCATCAGAAAAGGCTGTCTCCTCTTGCACTTGACTGCAGGAGTGTCTTTGGCCACGTATGTTGACTAGGATAAGGGAGGAGGCCGAGGTTGATGAGGAGCGAACTAAGGAAGTTTCCCACAAAGGAATGTTTAAAAAAATTCTCCTTGAAGTTCTGAAGCATTTTAAAAGTTATTCTTGAGTCAATTTGAAAAGGTTTGGAAGTATGTTTTAAAATAAATAAATCTATTCTAAAATTGCCCAGTGGTCAGATAAGTGAGCAGGAAACTATAAAAGTGCTTCTCAGCCTGGGTTTCTGCAGAGCAAACAGGCTGTTCTGCTTCACGTAAAAATGTGGGGTGGGTTGGGTGAGATGTTCTACTAACAAGCATCTCTGGTGAGGTGATGGGGAGGCCCTGCTGCCTCTGGGAGGTTTGTGCACACAGGACAAGGCAAGGCAGCCAGTCCCTGCCATCCACTCCTTTCTCACTGCCCCATCTATTCTTTAGCCTCTCTGTATCTGGGCTCAGTGCTAGGAGTGGACATAGAGGGGCCTGGCCTGTGAAGGGCTCAGAACAAGGCCAGAAGGAGGTCAGGGCCCAGGACTTAATGGCACAGGGCTGAGGCCCCCTCCTCTGCTATCCCTGTCCCCTCCTTGGCACTGGATAGAGATGAGACACAGGCCTGGACTCCTGCTACCTAAGGGGAAGGAAGCATCCCTTGCCCTGCCTCCAGCCCTCCTATCCCCCACCAGTGAGGGATTCAGGAAACTGGTGTCTTAGGCTGGGTTCGCTAGAGAAGCAAAACCAGTGAAGCATATATATATATATATATATAGAGAGAGAGAGAGAGAGAGAGATTTATCTCAAGGAGATGGCTCACTCGGTTGTAGAGGCTGGCAAATCCCAAGTCCATGGGCTAAGCATTAGGCTGGAGGCTTCTTCTGACTCAGGTAGCTGCAGGGGCTGACAAATCCAAGATCAGCAGATTAGATGGCAGGTCTCTGGCTCATGGGCTGCAGAGGCTGACGAATCCAAGATCAGCAAGTAAGACGGCAGGCTGCTGGTTCACAGGCTGCAGAGGCCAATGAATCCCAAGATCGGCAGGTAAGACAGCAGGCTGCTGGCTCACAGGCTGCAGAGGCTGATGAATCCCAAGATCAGCAGGCAATGCGGCAGGCTGCTGGCTCAAGTTCCAAGAACCAGAGGTCAGATGATGATGAACTGGATGCAAGATCCAGAGCAAGCAAGTGAGCTTTTCCAGAGCATCCATATGTATATATATTGGATGCAGGCCACAACCCCAAGGAAACTCCCCTTACATCTGATTGGCTGATCACATCAGGACACATCATGGAGAATGACTACATCATTACATAGCTGCCAGATCACGTCATTACATAACTGCCAACTACATCATTATATAACTGCCAAACTACATCATTATATAACTGCCAAACCACTGAGAATTATGGCCCAGCCAACTTGACACACCACCTTATCCATCCCAGTTGATCAGTTCAGCTCAGTGCCTAATCAGGGCCCTGGGACACAGGATGTAGCCCCTATCCTGAGAAGGGACAAGACTCTGGAAACAGAACAGCCCAAGGCATCTGAACAAAGGGCTGGAGATGGACTGAGGCCACTTGGCAGAAAGACAGTGCTCAGGGGCACTTCTAGGAAGGGGAGGCCTAAACACCAAGGAGGCCTGGCAGAGGCAGCTAGGGATGGGGGTGACCTTCTGGCTGGGTCTCCTTTGCGTGTCCTGGGCTCCAGCCTGGGACAGCCCATGGAGCCCACAGTGTCACAGCCCGGGCACTGAAACCCATCTCTTCTCCCAGGTGTTTGACGGGGCCGTGATTGTCCTGTCCTTGGCCCCAATGGTGGCATCCACTGTGGCCAATGGGCCCAGGAGCCCCTGGGACGCCATCAGCCTCATCATCATGCTCCGGATCTGGCGGGTGAAGAGAGTCATCGATGGTGAGTGGCCTGTTAAGGGTCAGCGGGGCTGGCGGGGCTGCAGGGGGCTGCTCCAGAAACCGGAGCTCTCAACTGAGAGATGGGAAAGGCCATGTGAGGTGGGCATTTGTCTGCCAGCATCAAAGGTGTGGTTGGGGGTGGTTATCTCAGAGAGAACCAGGCCTGTCCCTGCTCCCTCAGTGTCCTGTATTCAGGAGTCACTCACACACTACCCAGTTGTCACATGCCAACACTGGGGCTCCCTACTGCCCATTTGGAAATCACACGCCCATTCCAACGTAATTGTTTATTGTGTGTCTGGGTGGCCTCCCCTTCCTGTGAGAGCTTATGGCAGGGCCTGCTGTTCTGCAAAAACTAGCCTTTTACATCACAAGTGTCTTAATGCACACTGGCCAATGACCGCCCCTAGCAGTGTGCAGACTCACCACTGGCTTTGTTAAGGTTGTCTGGTCAAGGCCCTATCGCCTGCAGGATCTGTCCCACCTTTATGTTCAAGGACAAGCTGGATCTCCCCTAAGCCTGTCTACCTGCAAACAACTGGAGGATGTTATTCTGGGAGCTGCTGGCTTGGTTGGGTTTCAGGCCACGCTTCAGGCATCTTTAGTGATATCTGTTCCTATCTCTGGGTCTCCACTCCCATAAAAAATCTTATGTGCTCCCTGTTTATTGTTGCCTCAGCTACCATCAGAGGCCAGCCCTCCTCACTGAGCCATTGTAACCTGGAGAGCTGTGTCCTGACCTGAGATGTTCGTATAGTTCTAGAAGGTGGTGACAGACCACAGTGTGTCCCTCAGAGGAGGGAGCGTGGGAGGAGAGCAGTCTGCAAACCCCATTCCTGGAGAATGGTGGAGGGTACTAGGATGGGGTGTTCTAGAGGACAAGGACATGGGGAGGGGGCACATCCATCCTCCACAGGTTCCTGAAGTCATCTCATGAGAGGAGGAAGAACCAAGTCACTAGGCTCCAAAAGGTGGTCCTTGGACCCTTGAGGACATGGCAGGGAGGCCCACCTCATCTCAGCTGCAGGAGGACTATGTACAGAGCCACCACAGATAGGCCAGGCCACCTCTCCAGAGGTGGGCTCCCCTCCTGGTCTGTGGGCAGCCAGAGGCCATGTGGCCACATGGAGGTGCAGGGCATGACAGAGAGATTATATAGACTGATGACTCCCAAACTTTGTCTTTTTAGCAGCAGAGCCCTTCCTTCTGCAAACCTTAAGCAGATGCCTGGTGTGTAGAATAGATTGAAAGTGGAGCTTCATTGGTTAACTTGGAATGGAGGGGGCCAGACCCTATCTCCCTGACTTTCCCCTGGTTCCCTGAGGCACCTCTAAGGAACATCTCGGCCTTCTGGAGCACAGTTTTAAAACCAATATAACAGACTTAAGGACTTTTCCAGCCCTGAATTTTTTTTAACTTTTTTAAAAAAGTTGTTGATGAAAATATACGCAGTAAAACATATACCAATTCAACAATTTCTACATGTACAGCTCAGTGACATTGATTACATCCTTCAGGTTGGGCACGCATTCTCACGTCCTTTTCTGAATTGTTCCTCCCAGCCCTGAATTTTGCTTGCAAATGACAGACGTTGTGGGCATGAGAAGACTCCCAACAGCACTGGCCCAGTGGGTGTGAGGCAGGAAAGAAAGGTTCCAGGATGTCTCTCACCCTGTTCTGGGCCCCTCTCCCTAGTCCCCACCCCCACACCCCACCCTGTGAACGCTGTGGTTTTTGGTCCTTTTTCTACCCCGGCGTCTCATCAGGGAGCCCCTAATCCAGAGTCTACATCAAACTAGAATGCAGCTGGATTCAATTTTGGAATGCCAAAGCTGGGGAAGGCTCTGAGAGATCATGTAGTCCACCCCCTCATTTGAAAGGTGGGGAAACTGAGGCAGCCAGCCTCCCCCCCCCCCTCGCCAGTGCTCTTGTAGCTGTTCCACTCCTCCCCCTCACTGTTCGGGGCCCTGTTCTTGGCTCTGTCCATGAGAACATCTGCTCCCCTTGGGGCAAGAACAACATCTTCTGGCCCTTCTCTGCCAGCTGTGCACAGCTGGACATCCTCACACAAATGGATCTCGACGGCTCCCATTGTGAATGCTCTTCCCAGCTATTACCCCTTTGCCTGACACATCAGCATTGCTGTGCCACTGGGAGCCTCAGATAGAGCTGTGCTGCGTGAACGTTTGAGTGTTAATCTGCTGCTCTCACCTTGGTGTGAACTGACTTCAGCAGAGATCTGAGGAGGCAGCAGCAGCTTGGTGCAGCCTCTGGGGCCTGGGTCTAGTCTCAGGGACTCATGGGCTGTCCTCAAGCCTGGAAGCAAGCAGAAAAATCCTGATTTCTCTTCTCTGCATGACCCCTGCAGCAGCCAGAGAACATCTGGACATTGGAAGGCTATGGGTGGAAAGGGGACTTGGAGAGTAGAGACGAGGAGGGCTCACAAAGGCAGTCCCAAGAAAATCATGTGGCCAAAGTTTCCAAGAAGTGCAGAAAGGGCTGGCTTCTGAGAGACACGAGAAGTGTGTAAAGGGAAGAGGCCCTGTTAAGGTCAAGCATTGACACTAAGACTTCCAAGGAGCCCAAAGGTACTAGGCCCAGAGAACTACTAAAGGAATGGGTCCATGTGGGTGCTGCTGGCTGGGAGATCATGGGGCCCTCAGACCCACAGAGTCCAAGCTTTCTCCTCTGGGTCTCAATGTGTGTATCAGTCACAAACAGGATCTGTGAGTGACCGAGATCCAGAATGACAGTGACTTCTATAAACAGAAGCTTACTTCTCTCATGAAAGTCTGCAGGTAAGCATTCCAGGGCCAGTATGGTACTCCCTATAGTCAGGAGCCGAGGCTCCTTCTATTTTGTTGCTCTGCTGCACATAGTCTGCTTTTCAAAGTCACTTAATGATCCAAGATGGCTGCTTGAGTGCCAGCCCTCACATCTCATTTCAGCCAGCAAAAGGAAGAAAGAAAGAGGATAAAGAGACAAAGAGAAGGCCTTAATTCTCTTTTTAAAACATCTTTATTGAAATATAGTTCACATATCATAAAATTCCCCCATTTAAAGTATAGAGTTCAATGTTTTTCATATATTCCCAGAGTTGTGCAGCCATCACCACAATCTATTTTCAGCATTTTCATCACCCTCTAAAAAATCTCTGTACCCATTAGCAGACACTCCCCATTCCCCACCCCTCGGCCCTAAGCAACCACTAATCTACTTTCTGTCTCGATGGATTTGCCTATTCTGGAGTTTCATATAAATGGAATCATACTATATATGGTCTTTTGTGACTGGCTTCTTTCCCTTAGCATTTTGAAGAACAGCCAAACGATTTTGCAAGGCGGCTGCACCATTTTACATCCCTACCAGCAGCGTATGAGGATTCCCATATCTCCACATTACCACCAGTCCAGGCAGCCTTTTAAGGAGGGCTTCTAGAAGCTGCTGCATCCACCTCCACTTGGATCCCATTGTCCAGGATGTGCTCTCATGGTGACCTATGATTGCAAAGCAGGCTCAAAAATATAGTCTTATCCCAGGAGCCATGTGCACAGCCAAAAAGTAAGGGTTCTGTTACGATGGAAAAGAAGGAAAAGAGATATTGAGGGCCATCTAGCAGTCTCTGCCACAGTGAGTTAGGGTTCTAGCTTTCTTGTACTTTCTGGAAGCTGTTGGGTACCTGGACATTTTCTTCCCAGATCTCAGAGAACTGAATCTGGACTTCAAACCCACTGCTGGCTAAAGGCTGGGGCTGGTCTCTCTCCAGCCTGATCCTGCCATTGCTACATCCTTCACAGGGCTCTCTCTGTCTTCCAGCTTACGTCCTGCCAGTGAAGGTGGAGATGGAGATGGTCATCCAGCAGTACGAGAAGGCCAAGGTCATCCAGGACGAGCAGCTGGAGAGGCTGACGCAGATCTGTCAGGAGCAAGGGGTAACACAAGGCCCCGGGGCCTTGCTGGGGACACTGGTGGTGCCACAGGATGCCACAGCTGCCAGGGCCCCTGAGGCCAGGGAGCACCTTCAGCTCCTCACTGGACGCCTAGGGAACCTGAGGCCCAGATAGGGGAAGATGTATCTCTAAGGTCACTTGTGCACAGCCCAGCCAGGCCTGGACTCGGGCCCTGACCCCCAGGCCAGAGTTCTTTTCATTGTACCACGGTGACCATTCAGCTACCCAGCCTGAATCTGCCCAGTCACCACCTCAGTGCATAGAGTCTTCTCAGAAAAATGGTCTCCAAAGCAGAGGACCAGTCCCATCTGCAGAGGATCGCTGAGTACCACTGTGAGCCAGTTGCTTCTCAGGGCCCCCAGAACCCCCAGAAGGGTGTTAGCAGTGCTCTTTGCCCTGACAGAAAGTCAAAGGCAGGCAGTGAGCCCTGCGAGCCCGTGCCCAGGGAACCAAGAGGGCAGGCAGCCCGGCTGGGGAGCGTGCCCTGTCTGGGAATCCAGAGGCCTGCACTCAAGTCTCAGCCCCACTGCACCCTGCTCCTGGGACTGCGTCCAATCATGCCACCTGTCTGCCCTCAGTTCCTTCATCTGTAACATGAGGGGGCCGCCTCCATATGAGTGAGACAGATGGCCCCTTCTATTGGGGGACAGAAGGTGCTCAGGAAGTGGGAAAACAAGTGGACCATGCAGCCAGGCTAGCCCTCTGTCTGTAGAAACACACAGCCTGAGGTGCAGGGAATGTTCCAGTACCCAGTGAGCAAGGTGGGAATGCCACAGAGTGTCCTAGCAAGGTGGTGGGAATGTGTGCAGGGGGATGGACCACTTGGCACGCGTGGTCATTCCACATTCTACCCCTTGGATTCTAGGGAGAGGACAGGGCCATGGCCCTGTGCTCCATAAGCCAGAAAAACTACGCCCATCACCCTGGGGACCCCAGGACTAGCCCTGGCATGGAACACCCACAGCTGTATATGCAGTGTGGGCTCTGAGCCCTTCTGGCTGTCAGTGCAGCAAGGACAGACACCCCTCTGTCCCGTACCCCATTGCTGGGGCTCAGACACTCTCAAAAGAGGTTCTAGGGGCTGAGGTCTTGCCTGTCATGAGGCCTGCCACAGTCTGCCCATCTTGTCAACCTCGGATATCTCACTGGTCTTGTCCATAGACAGTCTGATCAAACCAACTGGAATCACCTGTCCTTCTGACAAGCCCGTGTGGTCCCACTTCTTAGTTTTTGGTCATGCTGTGCCCCTTGCCAGAGTCCTTTCCCTTCAAGAGCTCTGCCTACCTGATTTGTGTGTTGGCTTCCTTGTAAACGTGGCGCTGCCTCCCACAGTAACAATGGCACCCCTCACCCCCCAGCCCTCGTGTGCAGCCTGCACAGAGTACTGGACACTCGTTGTCATGGGGGTCTGCTCCTCCTACTGAGCTAGATGCTCCTGAGGGCAGGCCTTATCTGATGCATGTCTGAGCCCCTGGCTCCAGTCCAGGGCTCCAGCCCAGCACCCCCAGATGTGGCAGGCCTCTGTCAGTAAGTGTCACTGTGTGTTAGGTAGATCTCTTGGCCTGTCAGACCCAGGCTCTCATGACTAGGGGAGAGGATGGTGGGGGTAGGAAGACTGTGGAATGTCACTGCAAATTGATCCCAGGAAATGTCCCCACAGGAGCAGGCACACAGTGTCTTCAAAATCATCCCCTTGGAATGTCTGTCAGGGAACCAAATCTTTTATCTATTTCAGGAACGTCATGGCCTTTCACTTCAGCGCTAAATATTTATGAGTGAGAAGGGACATCAGGGGACACAGCCTCAGGAGTACTTGGTCCAAGGGGTCCTGGGAGCTGGGTGGTCACACGGGAGTCTAGGCTAGGAAGACAAATGTTCCAGCCCCTAAGCAGATGACATCAGCTTCATTCATTCCCATTTATCTGGAAGCCAGCTCTGTGCCAGCTCTGTGCCTGGCCTTGTGCTGGATGCTGGGGATGCAACCAAGGACAGGACATGGCCCCACCCTCTTGAGGCTGTGGGTGACTCAGGAATTTGGCAGGTCTGTAAATAGGCGGTGGCAGTCTGTGTGATGCATGCTTCAGCAGGAACATGTCTAGGGGCTCTGCATGCAGGGTAGGGAAGTCTTCCCAGGGGAGCTGACATTTGAGCAGGCCAGTTGGAGAAGGGTACCAGGAGAGAGGACAGTGAGGCATGAGGGTAAGTGGTGCTGGGGGAGCGTGAGGCAGTTCAGAGTGTGGGTGAAGGGACAACGTGGGAGGATTTGGAGGCAGGCTTGGGAAGGGCCTTCATGGCTGACCAGGGAGTTCGACTTTATCCTGTAGGGGAGGAGGAAGCTTAGACTGTTGGAAGCAGGGGTGGAGGGATGGGGAGTGTATTAGTCAAGGTTCTCCAGAGAAACAGAACAAACAGGATATAGACAGACAGATATCTATATCTGTATCACATCTGTTTGGTCTGTCTATTGAGCTGTCGATCTATCCCTCCATCCATCCATCCATCCATCCATCCATCCATCCATCCATCCATCCATCCATCCATCCATCTGTATATACAGATACAGATAGAGATACATTTTAAGGAATTGGCTTACACAATTGTGGGGGCTAGTAAGTCCAAAATCCATAGGTCAGGCAGCAGGCTGAAAACTCCGGCAGGGTATCTATGTCACAGTCTTGAGGCCAAATTCCTTCTCTTCTCAGAAACCTCAGTCTTTGCTCTTATGGCCTTGAACTGATTGGATGAGCACCCCCACCCCACCCCCGCATTATTGAGGATCATCTCCTTTACTTAGAATCAACTGATTATAGATGTTAATACAACTGTGAAATACCTTAACAGCAACATCCAGGCTAGTGTTTAACCAAACAACTGGGCACTGTAGCCTAGCCAAGTTGACACACAAAATTAACCATCACGGGGCGTTACCTGCTCAGATCTGAGTGTTTGCTGGAGCTTTGTGGCTGCCGCTGTAAGAAGGATGGGAGAGGGAAGGAGTAGAGGTGGGAAGACAGGGGACAGAGGGTGTAGCAACCACCCAGGAGAGAGATGGTCTAGGTTTGGGGCAGAGGAAGTCTAAAGGGGCCAGGGAGAGGACAGTTCTGAGTGCCATCCAGAAATGGGCTGGGATCTTGGCCAGGCAACTCTCAGTCTACTGTCTAATAGGAAAAAGAAATGCGCTACTTTCCTGCAGTTGGCGACATGAAAGACAATGACATGGTGCTGCTTCCGCCCTTCATAAATTAACAGCCTCCCAACCCAGCAGGGAACTGGCTGACCCTGCCACACGCCTCCCAGCACAGCACATGTGCCACGTGGCCGGGAGAAAACCCAAACGGCACACCTGCTTCCCACAGTTTCCACCGTGACCCCTCTCCGGAGCCCCCCAGGGACCCCAGGTTCCTGCCGTCCTGGTTCAAGTCACTCCCCACATGTGGCGTCCCTCCCGGGGGTCTTGGCCGAAGGGAGACTCTGTCGGATTCTGCACAGGAAAGAGCCAATAAATAAAGACAGATTCCCTCTTGGTAGTGACATCTGGAAAAGAGATGAACAGAAACAAACCATTTTAATGTAAAAAACACCTGAAGCCTGTCATCTTAGTTAAGACAGCAAAAGGGCCAGACGGCTGGAATCCCCACGGGGCGCTGGGGAAGGTGGGAGGGAGGCCTGCTCAGAGCAGAGAAACTGGGACTGCTGCTCTCCCCAAGCTTGCGTTCCACCAAGGCATAGCAAACAGACACCTCATTTTCAGCTGCATTTTGAGACCAGGTTTGAGACTTGACTAGACAACAAACACCCTTCAAGAAATGCAAGTGCAGGCCCATGGAAAGTCAGGGTTGGCCCAACCTTTAGAGAGAGCAGTGCCTAGAATGGTTATGAATATACTTAGGGACAGACCTAGGTTCAAAGCTAGCTTGGCCACGTACTGGTCTTGTGGCTTTGGGCAGTGAGGGACCTTTGTAAGCCTTGGTTTTCCTAATCTGAAAAATGGGGATAGTAATAACATCCTCGAGGGTTGCTGGTGAGGCTGCTTACCCTAATTCCTGACATGTGATGGTGAACATGTGGGCGCCAACACTAGCTATCGATCTACTTCCAAAAATTAGCCAGTGAAAATGCTATGGATCACAATGGTCCAGTCCATGACTGATCATGGGGATGGCACAGGACCAGGAGCACTTCACTCGGTTGTGCATAGGGACTCCATCGGTCGGTGGCTGACTCAATGACAGCTGACAACAACAGTCCTAGCTAGTCCACTCCCCCACACACACACCCATTTTACAGATAAGAAAACTTTAGTTTTCAGAACAGTTTTAGACTTACAGAAAAATTGCAAGATAGTACAGAGAGTTCCAGTATATCCTACACCCCAGTTACTCTTGTTACCATCTTGTATTACTAGCATACAGGTGTTACAATTAATGAACCAGTATTGATGCATCATTATTAACTAAAGTTCATATTTATTCTGTAGTTTTTCCCCTAATGTCCTGTTTCTGTTCCAGAATCCCATCCAGGACACCATATTAGATTTAGTTGCCATATCTCCTTAGGCTCCTCTTGGCTGTGACAGTTCTTATTTTCCTTGTTTGTGATGACCTTGACATTTTGGAGGCGTTCTGGTTGGGTGTTTTGTAGAATGGCCCTCTATTGAGATTTGTGTCATATTTTTCTCATGGTTAGACTGGATTATGTGTTTTGGGGAGGAAGATCACAGAGGAAAAGTGCCATTTCATCATATTGTATCAAGGGTACGTGCTATCAACAGGACTTATCACTGTTGATGTTGACCTTGGCTGAAATAGTGTTCGTCAGATTTTTCCACTTTAAATTTTTTTTCATCTCAGGTTTTTTAGAAAGATTAAATTGCTTTTACTGTAACCCCATGGAGACTTCCAGATGACAGATGACACATGGTTTGCCAGTTTCTTGCGTCATCTTACCACGGGCCACACCCAATATGCCACAGACCCACAAAA